ATGCAATTTCTATAAACTTCAAGGGGGTTTTGTGTACTTAATCTTAAAAATATATATATATAGTAACTCTCACGAGACAGTTAGCAATCGCATAATGACAATTAGTTTATTAACTGCATTTGTAAACTCGTAATAGTTAAGACTGACTAATTTTATTTCAGGGTGTAATGTGCAACATTTTTATAGTTCTAGGAGTTTTGTACAATTTATCCTATAATATTTTTATAGTGCTGAGTAGTTTTGTACAATTAAGAAGGGTTAGAAGTTAGATTTTTTTTTTTTCGTAGTTGGTAGTCACACACATGACTCCACCTAATTGGTACTTACACACACATGCCTCCACCCGAGATTTGAACCCCTTATCTCCCATTTGAAAAGTAAGAGCCTAATACCACTAGGTCATTGACTCATTGATAAAAGTTAGATTAATAGATACAGAGAATCGAATCATAAGACTCGAAAGTCCACCCAAATTACTAACCTACTGGGCCATCAAGGCATCCCCACTATTAGTAAATTTAACCCCTAACCTCTCCTTCGTTACCCTTAAATATTTGATAGAACAGATTTAATATAGGTTGCTGATAAATTTGTTTTCTCCATTTAATGGGCAAGTTTAGTATCATACAATGAGAATTACATGGGACAGCATCTCACTGAAAAAGGAAAAATTAAAAGATATACACAAGTAATACAAGCTATAATTCATGTACAATACCACCAAAATTTCAAGTTTCCTCTTATTATTCCTAAACTACTCCTTCCTCTCCAACGAAAAGGGAACAATAACTCACTGGATTGAACTGAAGTCGATGGCTCTCCAAAAAAATGCAGCTCTCAGTTTCGAATGGAGAGTCTACGAATGGCAATCACCAAAGCAGCGGAGACAGCGCCAAAGGATTTAAGAATTTACAGAGACATACCAATCTCCATGGTACAGTGCGAAGTAAAATAGTTGAAGTCATGGTGCTGGCCGGACACTGAGCTGTTTCGGCCAGGAATCGGCAGCACTATGAAGATACATCAGCCTTTTTATGATCGGATGTGTCGGACCCTTGAATCTTGTAAGTAGCCAGCCCGAAGGGGGAAGTGAAACTCCATCACTTTCCTTCCCTTTAGATCTACAACCTAATATTTCTTCTACTCCTGAACAAGGAATGTCTTTTCCAATGTCTTCATAATTCTCCAATGCAGTAGCATCTGTGGTATTAAACCAGAAACACAATGGCAAGTCCTTAGTAGGGAAAAGCAATTGATGACGATTACAACTATTTTGCTACACATGCTATTATCATTACACAATGGATTCATGAATAAGATTTCCTCGTATTCGCTCCGAAAGGGAAGATTTGGACTGAATTAGCCAAATTTATGCTTCCTTAAGCAAAGCAATCACTAAGGCCTGCTTAGTAACACTTTTACTTTCTGATTTTTACATTTTAGGACAGAAAAATAAAACACAGATTTCTCACTTTCTTGTTTTTTTCTCCCTCCATTGTAGCGGAGGAATTACTTCCGCTGCTGCAGCGGAACTTAAAAAACACTATATTCCGTCGTTTATAACAATAACCACACAACCCACAATTCTCTCTCCCATGTACCACGATGATGGCCACCAGATGAGCAACTCCGACGAAGATGATTCGCCGATCGGCATCGCCGGCGACCATCATATCGGCGATGATGGGACTTAGGTAAGTTATGCTTTCCTCAAATCTGAATTTTTTTTTCTCTCTCTCATCCTCAAGGACAAAATCCCCTCTCTTCCTCCCTCTGTTTTCTTACCTTGTTTTAGGAATTATGTCTCAAATTCCTATTATTATTAGTTTCTATTTTAGAGTGTATTTTTTATGGTAATTTTGTATAGAGACAGTGAATTGAGCTCTAAGAAATTGTAATCCTTGTCCACAAAGGAATTGGGTATGTGACTCTATAAATAAACACTTAGGTTATTGTTGAGAGTTATGAGTTGAGAGAGATGTAGCCTCATGAGGGAGTACGTTGATGGTAGGGGTGAGCTACGGGTTTGGTAGAGTGAACACTGATTGCGAGAGGGAGTCTCGTGGAGTACACGGAGAACTCGGTCAAGAGTTTGTGTGCATGGTCCGGTGTTGAAATTCTCTACTATTGTAATATCTTTACATATATAGTGAATCTCTTCTCATCCGTGGATGTAACCCTGATTTTGGGTGAAGCACGTATTTATCTTATGTTGTGGTTTGAATTGTTGTTTTCTTTTGCTTCCATTGTGCCCCAACACCTTGAATCCTTAGCACAAAATCAAAGAGTTAGGCACACAACAACGAATACGACGATGAAAGATTCCGACGACGACAAGGAGAATCACGACGATAATGGGTTGAGATTTATGGTTTGATTGCTGATCTAAGACTGCACGGCGACGGGATCGGAGAGTTTTTGTAAGGATCTTGTTAATGTTCAAAATGTGTGCCCTTATCATTCTTCTGGTACTTTTGCCCTTCTCATAGGTACGATCCTTAGCAACAGAATCTGATCGGGCATATGGAAGAGGCCCACTTGAACAGAAATTTTACCTAAAAGCTTCATTAACTTTTGAAGAGGGTGGAGAGAGAGAGCTCACCTTGATGTCGTCTGTCTGTCAATCTGTGGGGTCGAAGGACGGTGCAGTGGAAGATTGTCATCGTTGTTGCAGAAACGGCCTGTTTTAGGTTTTTTGATTATTTTTTTTTGATTTTTTTTTTTTTATACTGTGATTGGAGCAATTGTAATGGGAGAGGGGGTTTTGGATGGTGCTGAACATCTTGGTTCTGGAAGAGAATTTAATTTTGTGTTGGAAAGAGGTTTGTGGTGACATTATTGATGTTTGAAAGCTATGATGGGAGGTGGTGGTGGTTTCTGGCAGTTTGTAGTTAGGTAGAAATGGAGGATGGTGGATGCGAAATTGAACTGGGAGATGGTGGGATTGGAATGGTAGAAGATGGAACTACAGTAATGGTAAAAAAAAATAAAAGCAAAATCATAATTATTAAACTTGATTTTGTTATTTTGCTTTCAAAATTTTAATGAATATGAAATATTACTAAACATAATTTCATTTTCTATTTCAGTTTAAGAAATCAAAATCATACTTTTACTTTTGAAAAACAGCAAAAGTAGGAAAGTGAAAGCGTTAGTAAACGGGCCCAAAAAGACTCTCTGAATATGATCCCAGGAATATAATTTTAGAACACTGTCTAACAAGGCTTGTGAAAATAATTTTCCTCAATAATATTCTGGAAGTTTTTCAACAGCCCAACTGGAACCAAAAAAAAAGACAGATGAACTATAAACGATATCACTATGCAAGTCGAGTCAAACCGAAGATTTGAATCTTCTGCAGGCAAACCCAAATCACTAAGACAACCAACAGTTTTCATTTGAGAGCTTGTATATGTTTGCCAATAACTATGATGTTATGTGCAAGTTTTAGAACTCCCTTCTATTGTAGTATCGAAAGGGGAAATGCCAAAACGGACTGTAAGATTATAGAACTTAACCTACACTCCTAAATTCAACCATCACTGCTGCATGTGTCAGCCAAGAAACTGGCCGTAGTGGTATCCTATTAAATATCAGTCACCTAGAAATTTGTTGTGCATGAAAAATTGGCATTCGCTTACCAATTAAAAGATTTTTTTTTTTTTTTTTACTAGTCCAATTAAAAGATGAAATAAGAACAAGGCGGCATTAAGATGATAGTTGAGCTTAAAATCACATCCTATGTGACAAAATCTAAGTAAAAGTTGACAACCACCATTAGGAAAAAGGCACATCAGAAAGAAAAAGCTATTAATCATAGTCAAATTCATGTCAAAAGGGAAAAAATATATATATAAACACAATGATCAGATCCACCTAAAACAGCTAGATAACATAGCTTGTGTAACTTTTTATTGAAGTCATTTTCTTTTTCGGCATAGATAGTTCATCTAAACCTCTAATGATACAGCTAAGTACAAGACAAACTTGCTGAAATGCAGGTTTGGCAATACTGAAAACAGAAAGATTTATAGTCCATTTGATATGACGGCTAGAAAAGAGGACGGAAATGGAGAGGAGGAAACTTTGAATAGACATCTCCAAAGTAATAGAAGGTGTCCTTCCCGCCCACTTTTTTTTCGGTTGAGTGGAAGGAAAGAGAAAGGGTAGCCCTTCCATTTTTAGGTGCGAGGAGAGAAGGAAAGAAGAGGCCTTTGGTTTTTACTTTACCACTACACCCTGCAGTATATAAACTCATCCCTTCTGTCCAATGATTTCCATTCTATTTTCTACAAAAAAATATCCTTCCTTCCCCTCATCCCTTCTGTCCAATTTTGGATGGAAGCAAATAATTGGTGGATCCACAGGGGTGTCTCATTTACACTTCCTGTCCCCTCATTGAGAAATAGAATCATGCCACAACAATCCCCCCTACCTTCCCATCTCCTTCCTTCACTTCCACCAAACAGTGTTAACCGCAGAAATCAACCAACAATGAATGTCTTTGCAATTATTACCCTATTGAGTTGAAGATCAGAGATTAAACAAAGACATTTTATTATGATATAAATCCAATAGAAGCAAATTCAGCAAGATGAGAGTAACAACCTTGTAAACGAATATGCTACAGGATCAGCCCCTAACATAACCACCATGACTATTGTCCCATTTTCAATTTCTAGATGGGTATAAGAAGCCAATAAAAAAATTCTAGATGTATTATGTATATAAGAAAAGTGCAGACCAAGAAAGCCAAACTTAAATTTTTCATTAAAAATAATAGAGTCAATCACTCTTATTTCTTTCTAAATATACTTTCTTCTATTTTGCTGAATTAAATAGATATCCTTGCATTTAAACAAGCTTTGCCTTCATTACTTCGCACAAACTTTTATCCATCAAAGAAATAACAGACGATTTATCCTGAATTAAAGTATCGAACAGAATGATAGATGGGCCGATGGCCATACCTTAGGAAGATGAGGAGAACGTATGGTAAGTGAGGAAGCATGTTGACAAGTCTTTCACATTTCCTTTAGTTGGATAATTTGATAAATAGGATACCTGATCACCCAACAAAAAATAATAATAATAAATAAATACATCCTTTTTATTCACATTAGCAAACTAATTATAAAGAAACCGTCTTCAGAAACAGAAACTTAAAAGAAAAAATTGCCACACCAGCTTTATCATTCCTCAAAAAGAGAAAAAAAAGATACACCCATACTGACCCCAATGCCGATATGAGTTCCACACATTCCTCTCCCATTCCGATGCATCATCCAGAAAAAAAGATATTCAATAAATTAAGGTTATGATTACCAATTTTCTCAAACCCCCTAAAAATGAGTTTTCCATGATGCAATGTCTTTTATGAGCCACTAAAATTTGTCCTTCTAAATGCATTTACCATATGAGCCAAAGGTTTTTGAGGAACTAACAGGAAAAGAATTCTGCAACATTAAAAATGTTATAGTTGTGGCCATTTACAAGTGATGACCTCCAAATAGGAGAGGGAACCCAACCTAATAAAGCAGTTAATAACTCCCCTAATAAAGAAAAATATGTCCAAAGCTCTTAAACTATGAATATTTTGTGTCTGCCAAAGAAAAGTCAACAATTCAAAGTCTGAGTGTCGTTCTTTTTTTTTTTTTTTTTGGAAGTTCAAAGTCTAAATGTCATCAAAACTGTTGTTAACCAGAATATTGAATATCAGTATCACAAAGTTAATGTTCAAGTCAATGACCAAGTCAATCATTCAAGGTCTGAATATCATCAAATTGTTATTGACCAATGTTCTTTGATGGGAGAAAAAATTTAAGGGTTCAAGATTCTGGGATAAAGATCAGGGAAAGCAGCAAAATTAAACAATAGGATCTTAAAAACACTACATGGATTGTCAAACAGGCATATTTTGTAACAATTGATTACGTCAAAGAAGATGATTGCTTCTAATATAACAATTATGAGATGAACTTTAATGAAACAGCAAGCATTGACAATGCCATACAAGGTTTAAATTACAATGTTACCAAATGAAATTGACTTTTCTTCTGTAGAAGGGCATGTATGCTCCTTCACAAATAGAACCAAAAAATTTACAATTAAGCCAGCATCTCACTGAAAAATGAAATATTAAAGATATATACAAGTAATACAAACTAGAGTTCATGCACAAATACAACCAAAATTTCAAGTTTCCTCTTCTTTCTAAACTGCTCCTCCCTCTCCAACATAAAGGGAAAAAGAACTCTATGGATTGAACAGTTACCTTGAAATTAAATGTCCATGGCTATCAAAAAAACGCAGCTCTCGGTTTCTAAATATGTTCATTACTCAGCGGGAGAATCTTCGAATGGCAGTCACCAGAGCAGCGGACAGAACCAAAGGATGTAAGAATTTACAAAGACAAACCAATCTCCATGGTAGAGTGCGAAGTAAAATAGCTGAAGTCGTGGTGCTGGACACTGAGCTGTTTCAGCCAGGAATCAGCAGCACTATAAAGATACATCAGCCTTTCATGATCGGATGTGCTGGGCTTCATCCAAAGATCCCCTTGCATCTTGTAAGAAGCCAGCCCAAAGGGGGGAAGTGCAACTCCATCACTCTCCTTCTCTTTAGATTTACATCCTAATATTTCTTCTACTACTCCAGAACAAGGAATGTCTTCATAATTCTCCAATGCAGCATCTGCTGTATCAAACCAGAAACGCAATGGTAAGTCCTTAGTAGGGTTTTAGTCGATGACGATTACAACTATTTGACTACACATGCTATTATCATTAATTGATGGATTCATTAAAAAGATTTCCTCATATTGACTCGGACACAGAAGAATTTGGACTGCATTAGCCAATAAATAGATATCCTTGCAATTAAAAGGGCTTTGCCTTTGTTATTTCCACAAACTTTTATCCATCAAAGAAACAACAGACAATCATGCTGAATTAAAGTATGGAACAGAATGATAGATGGCCATACCTTGGAAAGACGAGGACAATGTATGGTAAGTGAGGAAGCATGTTGACAAGTCCTTCACATTTCCTTTAGTTGGAATGTGATAAATAGGATACCTGACCCAAAATAATAATAATAATAAAGTAAAAATAAATACATCATTATGGACAATAATATAACAGAACATCTTTCGGAGACTAATTAGCAAACATACCAAGCAATGGCCATCCAACTTGCTGGAGAGAGATCGATGCTCTTCAATGTCAAGAGTCCCAAACAATTTTGAGCAAGGTCAGTGATCTAAATCAGACAAACCAATCAGGATATCATTCGTTAATAAGAGTTTGTACAACTCAACTCAACAAGGCATTTTCCAACTATTTGGGGTCGGTTACATGAATCATCCGCCATTCCACTCAATCCACTTATAAAAGTAAAGATTATTAGTTCACTCATTCTTCCTAGTTTACATGTCAACAGTAGGTAAACACAAAAAAGTTAATAAGAAAGAAAAGATGTATTAATATAAAAGACAGATTATTTACTTTGTTTGTTAGTGGACTCCTCCAGCACGGCGAGCACGTTTCATAGTACTGAAGGTACAGAGAGCCAAGGCGATCTCTCATTGGGCACGAACCATCCTGGTCATTACTTGAATCTGGAGAAGTGGTATCCCAAATCTTGCAAGAGTGGTTGCTTCCAGAGAGTTTATCACTCTCACTATCGTCACTCCAAGATTCACTTTCACATTCTGCCAGATCTGAATCCTCTCTTGTATTCCTGTGAGATAATGGGATGATCCATTACATTGTGAAATTCAATAACAAAGACTTAAAGACCGAGCACTCAGATTGGGTATATAATTTTTTAGAAGAAACAGTTGAATACCTGGGAGTTGTAGAGGATTTGTTGATGTATATTTGAATGGCGGATAGATATGGCACGTAGTACTGCACGACATCCTCGCCATTGTTCAACACAACTGGGGTGCCAGTGCCAAATGCACTCCATTCTTTGTAGCATTCCCAGAGGTCTCCCAGTGTGAAATATTCAGTTCTATCCTTACCAACTGGGTTACATCTCTGCAAAATTCAACCCAAACAACAAAGTAAAGTAGAATATAAGTATTCTGAAGAATATGATCCAGGTGACACATTATTTGTTTAATCACTTCTGATCAATACCCAAATGCTCAATTATGAATTCTGTTTATGTTCAATTGTTCTAATGAAGGTCTTTGTTAATTGAGGGAGTCATCCATTTAAAAAACACTCACTAAATTAAGATTGTGATCACTGATTTTCACAAACCCCAAAAATAAGAGCTGTCCAAACTTTACCATTGCATCAATCAACGACCCCTAAAGAGACCATTACCCAGTGTTAGTCCATGTTAATCAAGGGTGCCGGGTACCTAAACTTTGATGTCATTGTACAAAGTGGTCATCCTCCAACCAAAATCTTCTAATTCAGGTATAAGAAGAAAAAAAAATTTATCCTGCATCAACTCAGAAAAGGAATATATGTTGAGATTACACAGAAACTAGAGCATTTTTTGCTAAACTGCCATTGAATGCTTTCTTCTTCTTTTTTTTCTTTTTTTTTTTTTTTTTAAGCAAGGAGTAAACAACAAAATTTAGGCCATTTTTAAAATTTTAATTTTTTATTTTTCTTATTATATATTAAGGATTGAAGGTTAAATCTTATTGTCTTACAGACTCACACAACACAAATAAATTTTATATATATATATATAATCTATATGCACACATATACTATGTCAGAAAAATAACAGTGGATAAAACCAAGAAATTGACAATGGCCAAGACATCCAAATAGCAGAGGAACAGTAAATAAAAGATCAGATATCAAATTTATATACAATTCATCTGCAAAGCACGGAAATTTACCCAAATGAGAATGAAGCATAAAAGTTGAAAAAGAAAAAGCAAAATTACCTGACGAATGCGTTTTGAAGGTACATTTGGTGTTGCAGCATGTAGAAAGCTCTGCAGATTTGTTGGAGTGGTCATCTTCTCTGAACGAGTAGAGATCTTTCCAGGATTATTATCTCTCCCAATCTGTGATATATATATATATATATAATCAAAAATAATTTTTGAATCAAATGTAATCTGAATTTTCCCTTCTTCAACCTCTAAAGTGAAGAACTTAAAATTAATAACAAATAACAGAGAAAATGTAATGAAAATTCACTTTCTATACTTGAAAAAATTTAAAATATAAAATCATGAACAGTAACATACACTAAATACAAACATTACTGGTAACATTGCGCACATCCCATTACTCTCGTTTCTTGTTATCTTTAATTTAATAGCATTAAATTATATTAACAATTAAATAGAGACGTTAATTGCTATAATTATAATATAATTCCCGAATCGAAGATGGAAAATCGTGAAACCCTTTTCCTTACCCTTTCGTTACTCTGAAGCTGAAACACACTGTTTGGTTTCTCAGAAAGAGAGAAATTTATAGAGAAAGTGAGACACAAGTGAGAACAGATTGAGATAATAAAACGAACTGAAGAGGGCCAAAACAGAGATGAGTAGTTAATAAAATAACAAATTAGCGTTGTTGTATTTGTAGAAGACGAAGAGGAAGAAGAAGACGAAAGGGATAGGTAGTAAAGTGAGAAACGAACAAACAAAATCAGAAAGCCAAGAAAAGTAGAGGAAGAGAGAGAGAGAGAAGTGTCGGGTCTGTGAGGCGTTCGCTTCGCCGCGTGTTGTGGCAGTGTCAATTTGAGAGACACTCTTTTGAGATGGCTTTATACCAGTGTGTCTGTATATTTGTGCATATATACACACCGAGTTTGTGATATTGCATGTGTATATATATATATTTGGCCATATCATTTAAACGACAAAAGACTTCATAACAGTGTGTGTGTGTGTTGTAGTTTACTATAGTTGGTCTTATTACTAATTTAAATGACAAAAATATTACTAATTTAAATGACACAGATAATATATATCTCAATCTATAGTTGGTCTCAGTTTATATTGTATTTATAAGATAAGGGTATTTGTGTCATTTTATTTTAAAAGTGAAGTGCAAATAAAATATGAAAATACTGAATAAGTAAATATTTCTATAATTTAATAATATATATTTATGCATGCATTAATATGCACACTTACCAACTACTTTTATTAATTTTGGATGAGATTTTGACCACCTAGAACTGACAAAATTATCTCTAATAAAGATGTAATAAATGCGCTTTTTTTTCTTCTTTTCTTTTCTTTGGGATAAATATGGGATGTAATAGTGTTGTTAAAGGACAATTGTATCATTTTATTTTGTTATATATATATTGGAGGTCAAGTATTGAAAAATGGAATCTAAATATTATTTTCCTATAAATATTGTTTTGCAAATGAAATCATTGAACTTTCACTTTTTACATACTATCTCTCCTGGTAATTTTTTTTTAAAATCGAACTTTCATTAAAACTTACAAATGCCCCTTTGTCTAATAATAAGAGATTAACACACGGTGTTATATACTTTACATAATGATAATTGTCTAATAGTTCATTTTATTCTATTTTTTGTTAGGACATATTAATAATTGTCTTTTTCTAAATATATCGAAATAAATATAATGAATTATTGAATTTACCTGAGAGACAACCTTAGCCCAATAATAAAGTTGCTTTATTTTGACCCGGAGATCGCGAATTCTAAACAAGAAACAACCTCTTCGCTTAAGGAGATAAGGTGTCGTACGTCCGACCATCTCTAAACCCCGCAAAAAGGGGAGCCTTCTGCACTTAGTTGTCATTGAGTTTACCTGAGATATGTTAAGTCAATTCCAAGATTAGCGTATGATATACATATATCTAGTTACGTAGGGTTGGTAGTTAGGGATGGTAATGGGGCAAGTTCAAGATACTTTTTTCTTAAACCGTACCTCATCGCATTAAATATGAAAGGTATTATATACCTGTTCCAAACCTATTAGAGAGAGAGAGAGAGAGAATTGGTTTGTTTCGATCAATTTTGATTTTTATTCTCTTAGAACTAAAAATTATACAAAAAGTTTGATTGAATTTTTTTGAAAATTCAATAAAAAAAATAAAGTTTGTTTTCAGATAACTACTTTTTATAGTCTTCTGAAAATAATTTTTTCTCTTGTAAGTTCATGAGAACTTTTTTTAGAAAATTGAACTAAATAAGCTCAAAATAAATCTCATATTCCTAAAACACTCACACAAAACTTCAACTTTCAAACGTCAAATTAAGAATAAAATTCAAATGAATGTTCTATAATAACATCACATGCAACTTCAAACTCATGTTATAAAGAAATTTATTTATAGGAGCGAAAAACATGTGAGATATAAACTAAGAAGATAGAGAAATAGATAGAATGTAGAGAGAGGGTACATACTGAGTGAGTATTAAGTAGCCGATCGTCAGAAATAGATAATCATCAATCCCTTTGTCATCGAAGATCACCGATCAGAGTGGCCGGTGAGTAGCAAAATATGAGTTAAGACGGGAGGCGGAGGGTGATATGAGGAGTAAGAAGCCCTAGGTTTATAACATATATATAGTAAAGACAAGGGTAAAAGGGTAATATTATTAAGGGGGTAAAATGGTAATATCATTACCTAATACCGGGTGCGGTAAACAAAACCAGGTGCGATAAATAAAATCGGGTGTGATAAAACAAAACACGAACCCCTCCAAACCTAGTTCCGGTTTAATTTAAAGTTTCAAACACGTACTTACTTAAAATAAAACGACTGCTCATATTTGTCCCATTAAGGGTAGGGCTTATGTAACTTTTTCGATTTTCTGCATTTTTTATTTTTCCGGAAATACTGTCGCTGCAAGGGCATTTTCGTCTTTTCATGTCTTGCGTGCAGGGATTGTAGTAGAGCCCAATTGCATTTGTGCATTTTAATTTATGTGGATTAAGTGGTATTTATATATGGTACGTTTATGTGTATGAGGTGTAAAATGAAAGTAAAAGAAAAAGGGAAAAGAAAATAAAATTGGTGGGACCCACCACTAACCACATAAGTGGTTTAGAAACCCATTTTTGGTTTTCTCACTTTCTCTCTCCCGTAACCCTCCCTTCCTCTCTTCTCTTCTTCATTTTTCTTTTTCATTTTTGTACCAAACTTTAAGTTTGGATTCCTCTCTCATTACTTAGAGATTTTGGGTGCCGTTTGAGGCAAATCGGAGAGCACGACGAGCTCTATGTGTGTGTACCAACAATTTTAGTTTTGGTGCCTCCTTGTGCATTTGAATTTGGAGACCATTTTAAGGGTTTTGTGCAATCTAGAGGTAGGGGTTCTCAATCCACGAAGTTCTTGCGCTTTAGTGAATTAATCTACTTGAATTGTGCCTTAGCATGCTTAGTTGTTTTGATTTTAGTTTAAAATGACTTAATTGAGGATATGTGAATTTGTATGAATATGTGTTAACTTGATTGTATATAGAAACATGCTATATGTTGAGTTTTGTGTTCATTGTGTTGCTAATATACTATAAATGATGTATGAAGGACATGCCTAAGTGTTGAATTTATAATTCCATTTTGCTATTTCTATTGTGTAAAAGCATATTGTAGCTTCCTTAGATATTTTTATGAATTGTGTTAGCTAATTAAATTTGAGTTAATTGTGAGATGATGAACATTGGCATGACATAAATGCATCTATGCATTTACACTGGGCAAGAAATGGGAAGAATTGATTTTGAAAATAAAATAGGAAGTTTTGGGAAAGAATGTATTGATGAAAGTGTTTTGATAAAACTCGGTCGCTGCAAAGTCACCAACGGGCCAGTAGGTTAATGTAATCTAGAGGGAATTAGGGAGATTGCCCTAGCGTGGTTGAGCTATCTGGGCCCCATAGTGATGCGGCGGAGTCACCAAAGGTCAGGGACAGTAGCCAATCCTTCTCTCGGTGCTGCGGAGTCACCAAAGGGGATTACATTAACAGTTTGAAAGAGATGGTTTTGAGAAAATAAAATGGGGAGCGACATTGGCATACATGTACATTCCATGGCATTGCATTGTTTTATTAGAGTTTGGTTGGAACGTTGTATTACCTCGATATTGTATGATCCCCATTCCCATTGGCCTATTCTAAGTTTGGATTCACGGGGACACAAGAGACGTGTCTTAAGCGTCACCTACTGAGCAAATTGCTCACCCCACTATATTATTATATTTTTTCAGGTCATAGCCTGGAAATGGCAGATGAAAATCCACCGCAAGCTTAACAATTGTTAGAAGATGACTTTTTTGCTATTTTGTAATTAGCCATTACATGTATAATTATAGTTTTGGGAATGTAATTAAACTTGTATTCATGGCTATTGAGAAGATGTAATTAAGTTTTACTCACTCAAAATTAGTTTAAATATTTAAGTAACGTGTGATAATTTATGTTATTGATGGTTGTTGTGTTTTTGTTAGATGTTAAAATGTGGGTAAAATTACACGTGAGTGTAGTGGCGTGGGTGGTTGAATTACCACCGTTGTGTATTTGGGTTATCATTGGACAGTGGAAAAAAAAAAAAGTGAGAGTTTCCCAAAACCGGTCGACGTGTGGTTTCTCATACGTCAACCGGTATCTTCACAGTGTGGGTCATTGTGGCTCACGTTGCAAACCAGTCGACTTATGGCTTCCCATGCGTCGACCGGTATCATGTCCCAAACCAGTCGACGTAACCGGTATCCATTATAACTTACGTTATAAACCAGTCGACGTATAGCTTCCCATACGTCGACCGGTATCTGGGTTTTTCCACTGTTCATAACCCAAACCAGTCGGCGTATAGTGTACATACGTCGACCGGTTTCTGCCTTTTAATTAAACTCTATTTTAATTTCCCAAAATTACACTTTGGCACCCATTGATGTTGTAAGTAATTATTTTATGACCCAATAAAATGCAATAATTATGTTTTGACCACCGAAAGGACTATATTGCCCCGAACCTTATTTTAATTATTACGTGATGCAAGTAAATGACTATTACGTCCTTAGGTCTAAATTTATTGAAATATGGCAAATTACCATCTTGCCCTTTTTGGACCTTGATATTTAAATTTAATGTGAAAAGACCGTTTTACCCTCGGATGATTTTGGGTCGGGTAAGGACCCGTTTAATGATCCTGATTCATGAGGATTTGGGTCTTTACAGCTTAGCTAGGTAGAAATCCATTGGGTTAGAAGGTTTTTTTCTCTTGTCCCTGGGTTGAAATGCTCAAGCACCATTTTGAAGGGGGAGAGTTTATATTATCTAGGCTACTCTCTATTGATGAGGTTGGAAAAATTTGTCATCCTTATTTGTAGCTAATAATTTCTTTATTTGTAAATTTGTTAGTATAATTATTTTTATTTGTTATTTAAGAATGAGACATTGTTTAGTCCATTTTAGTTAATATATTTTCTTATTTTCTAAAATATTAAGCCCATTTCAATGGTAATTTACATGGACCCGATCAGCTGGAATAATTCTTTTATTTTGTATAATTAAGATCGACATTTTTCTTTTCTTTTTTTCTTTATTTTTATTTGTGTGTGTCAATGATGTTGGTGTTGGGCTCTTTTACAATTCCATAATCTACCACGGACAGATGCTTATTCTTATGTCCTATGTGACTAGTGTTATAAGTGGAACTTGTCCCACATCGGATTTGGATGGGGGTTGAAGTGTGTATAAATAGGTGGGTATACAGCACTACCCAACAGTTTAAGTTTTTGGGTAAATGGGTAAACGTCCACATGTTACAGTTGGTATCAAAGCCAGACTCA